AGAGAGAGAGAAAGAGAGAGAGAGAAAGGAAAAGACACAAAGACAAATAAACACATTCGTAAAAGTGCACAGACAAACAGGTAGGCAGACAGAGAGAGGGAGAAAAACACAGATGGAGACGAAAAGAAAGATACAATGATAGAGAAAGAAATAGAAAACAAATGAGAAAACACGAGAGGGAGCAAATCACATCAGAAAATTCGCCAACCATCCACCATGCAAGACAAAGGTGAAAGAACATCTGACAGCTACACCGTCAGACAGCTGATGCCCCAAACAGCTGATATGTTCTGAGATGTGAAATACAAAGCGCGTGGACACTGCCTACAGCACTGTGAAACAGGCCGTGATCATACACACTGGCTCCTACAGAGACCGCTGAAGCCATGGCAGGAACAACGGCTGGGAAGTTGTGCTGGGTGGCTTGGTTCCCGACTATTGAAAGCTAGGAATCGTAGGAATCGATTCCGAACCCAATTACCTACTTTCTAAAGATGTGATTTTTTTCCGGTGATTACCTGGTTGGCTCCGAACATCTTCAGGATTTAGGACAATCTTGATTTCGGAACACTACAAAGCATTAACTTTTATGTTTCAAAAATAAATTCTAAAAAAAAGAACATCTCAATGATTACAGTAACCGGTAACCGTTGGTTTATGTATGTAAAAAGGAGTCGGAAATTTTCTTCCGTAGCATTAATCGTAGGAAACGGTTCCGGAATTGATTCCTCGCCCAGCTCTACTGGGAAGGTACACCATACCGCAAATTGATGGACCGATCAGAACGGCCATATTCATGTGGGTTGCTGTAACGTCATTCACGATAGACACCCTTTAACGTTCACTTATTCTGAGAATGGCTTGTCTAAGGTAAACTTTTAATTTTACTACGAGTGCATAATATTATAATGATGGTGATTACCTAGCAGAGCCCCAGGAAAGGAGGAGGAGGAGGAGGAGGAGGAGGAGGAGGAGGAGGAGGAGGAGGACGAGGAGGAAGAAGAAGAAAAAGAAGAAGAAGAAGAACAACAACAACAACAACAACAATATCAACAACAACAACGACAACGACAACAACAACAGCTGCAGCAGCAACAACAACAACAACAACAACAACAACAACAACAACAATAATACAATAATCACCATAATAGTCATAACAAAAATAATAATAATATGGACAAAACTGAGTAGACCCCTCACATACTATGGTGCAATAATTAAAAAAATTACATCTCCGGCTGTGTGGGAGTTTATATTGACCAGAGAAAAGGTATGGGGGAGTTAATGGTTTTAATTGCCATGTTAGCTTACTTCTATATATATAATTATTATTCGAGTCATCTGTGCCGCAAATGTTTGCCCCGCTTGTTACATTATGGACCACGAGAAAATACATTTATTAACTATTCCTTTTTAAAGTTTTCACACGAATGCACGTGCGAACATATGCACACACGCGCGCACACACACAAATACACACACACATACACACACACTCACTCTCTCTCACACACACACACACACACACACACACACACACACACACACACACACACACGTACGAGAGAGAGAGAGAAAGAGAAAGAGAGAGAAAGAGAGAGAAAGAGAGAGACAGAGAGAGAGAGAGGCAGAGAGAGAGAAAGAGATGAGAGAGAATGGGTGTGTGTGTGTGTTTGTGTGTAGGTAAGAGAGAGAGGGAGAGAGATAAAGAGGGAAAGTTACAGATGAACATAAAAACAATACTGAAGACAAAAGAGAGAGAAAGAAGGATGGACGGTAACAAAGAGAGATGGAAGCTACATGTTGGGTCGCGACAATAGGACAGAAAAAGATTAGCCTGACTGTCCGTGCCTTCACACACACACACACACACACACACACACACACACACACACACACACACACACACACACACACACACACACACACACACACCGCTACCACTGACTACCATGACCCCGTGACCCCGTGACCTACCCTCAATGCTCGTTCCTCTCGGTCTCTGGCCTTTGCCTCGGCGTCGCACCGACCCGCCTCTTTCCCGGACTTGCCGTCGACGTCATACATATCCGAATCCTCCTCGTCCTCATCCATTGTGTTATCCTCGTCGTCGTCGTCGTCCTCTTCATCGTCCTCGTCTTCATCATCGTCAAACACGTACTTTATCCTCTTCTTTACGACTCGCTTCGATTTGGTCACACTTTTCTCTTTCGACAGCTTCTGCTTGTACTTCATCCGATTTTCGATCGTCTTCTTCACGATCGGATGCTGGTTCAGCTTCTCCAGCGCTTTGAGATCATCCAACTCAGCCGACTTAAGCACCCTGTACTCTATGCTCGGCGGGATCAGATCCAACTCTTTCATCTTTGTCGGACTGGACACCCGTAGTTTGGCTAATTTCTTCTTTTTGGGAGACAAGACTTTCTTACTAGACGAAGAAGCCTCTTCCTCTTTCTTCTTCAACCCTCCTTCAACCTTCACCTCTATCCCCTCCGCTTTTTCTTTGAGATCCTCTTCCTCCGACTGCAGACTAGATTTGATTTTCGAGTCTTTGGGCGGTTGGTGGATGTCCGAGTTTTGCGTGCCCAGCGCCTGACCTTGTGCGGACGGGCTGGTGGTCACCTGAGATTGTGACTGCTGGATTTGATCTTCCACTTTCTGTTTTGATTTTTCGTTGTCCACTCTGGAGTGAACGAAAGGCGCCACGTTGGCGATGGGGATGTTCTTCATGTGGCCCCACCCCAACGTGTGGCCCGTCAGAGAATTTCTTCTGATCACTTCGGCGCGGTGAAAGGACACGCTGGACTGTGGCGTCTTTGGCCCCTCGTCTTGTTGTTGCTGCTGCTGCTGTTGTTGTTGCTGTTGTTGGTGGTCGGGTAAGGCGGCGGTACCTATACTACACCTGCGGACCACTATTGAGTTATCAGGGACGTCTTCGGATTTTTTAGCTCCCGCTGTTGTGGCGGCGGCCTCAACTGGGTTTGGAACCCCAGCACCTGCGCTCCCACCTGTACTCCCTGAAAACATCCCTGCGCCACTCCCGCCTGAGCCCGTCGTTGCGACAACAACGCTGCTGCTGCTGCTGCTGTTGTTACTATTGTTGCTGCTGCTGCCGCTGCTGTTGCCGTTGCTGCTGTTTCCGTTGCTGTTGTTGTTGACCACCTCATGACTATTGTTGTTGTTGTTCTTGTACGCTTCTTTCACCATGGGGCTGTCGGAGGTGGGGCCCGCGGGAAACCCTCCTCCCCCCTGTTGCTGGTGGGCGGGGACAGAGGAAGAACTGGCCACGCCCCCCATCGACGCTGACGATGACGAGGACGACGACGAGCTCTGCGATTGGCTACTGCCCCCCATGGGAAAACTTCGCCCTACACCGCTAGGCTTGCTCTGTCGCCCTTTTATCGGATCTAGCGTTGGAGGGTCGTCGTCATTCGCCTGTGCCCCTTGCACGCCCCTCTCCTCCACACCAGCCTCGTTCTCGTCATCCTGAGGACTCAGAATCGGCATCTTTGGTGACGTAGGCACGGGGCTCCCCGTACTGCTGGCTAGGATCCGGTTCTTACACTCCGAGGAGATCCCGCCAGACTCGTGTTTGCTCCCCGTGTTGCTGATGATTCTTTTGAGAGTCTCGTCCTGATTGACAGCGTTCAGGATCATTTGTTTGCGCGACCAGGCCTTGTGGGGGACGGCGGGTCGAGAGGGAGGGGGCGGGGTCGACGAGGTGATGGGGCTCGGTGATTGAGGGATGGTGACGGAAAGGGGCGTGGCGAACTGGGTAGAGGGTGGCTGCATCGACTGGGACTCTTTCAATAAAGAACTGTTGCTCTCCTCCCCTTTTTTGCTCTGCCCGCCGATCAACGACAAAGAGGGGGCGTGGCCTTGATTGGAAGAGGAGGAAGTCGTGGCTATCGATGAAATAGGCTCCAACACTTTGGCTTCCTCAGTCTTTATAATAATTACGTCATTACTCGAGCCTGGAGAAGGCTTCTCGTTCAGCGATGACGTCATTGACTTGGACACATGACTAGATAACGGTTCCGTCGTGTCAATCTTCAGCGGCCTGTCCGGCATGCTGGAAGAGCTGTCTTTTCTGCTGGAACCTTCGGGGGGATGTTTAGAGGACATCATGACGTCGCTGGCACCGTAACCAGAGGAACCCGCGGAACAGCTGACCCGGCGAGACAGAGCCCTTCTACTCTCCTCCCTCACCCCACCTGCTGGGAGGGGACCTGCAATCTGCGGCAGTGTGGACTTGATAACATCAGAGGACCTCCGTTCAGGCTTGAGATGGTGGCCACTATACTTGTTGAAGGAAGAAGAAGGATCGACGACACCGGCACCGGCGGCGTTTGGCAATGTCTGTGCCGGCGCTTTGGGATTATACCCCGACGGGCCGCCTACGCCATATTTATACACCCCGCTAGAGGAGGAATAGGAAGCCTGGTGGGAGGAGGAGGAAGGGAAGTGAGGGGAAGGTTTGAGGGAGCCTCTTTGCTGTTGAGCAGACGAAGAGGTGCCCCATTTCTGTGTGGGTGACGTCATGACAGACATGGAAGGGACATTCTGTTTGTACATGTCGTGCTCCACCTTCTTCCTGTGCTGTTGCTGCTGATGCTGCTGCTTCTGGTAGAAGCGTTCTAGCTCCTCTTTTCTCTTGGAAGCTGGGTAGGGCGCGCCGGAAGAAGGGTAGTGGGACTGGGATCCGAGATGGCCACCACCAGCCTGTTGTTTAGTATAGGCCATCTGGTGCTGGAGAATTGGATCCTTGGAATATTGCATGTGCTGGTGGTGGGGGTACTGGGTGAGAGGATGGCTTGCTTGTTCCTTAGAAACATATGGACGCTGTGATTGTTGCTGTTGTTGCTGCTGCTGCTGTTGCTGTTGTTGTTGTAAATACAGCTGCTGTTGCTGTTGTTGAGGTTGGAGAAGAGTCGGGGTAGGGAAACCTCGCCCAGGGTGGCTGGCAGCGTGGGTTCGAGATGCTTGTAGGGGGTCGCTTGAATCTTTCATGGCTAGTTCAATAATTTCTTGTTGGTCAGCGACCATCTTGGCGTGCATGTGTTGTGCCGCGTGGATCTGTGACATGTGGGCAGACTCCGAGTGGTGATGCTGCTGTTGTTGTTGTTGCTGTTGTTTCATCTGCTGGTGCTGTAGCGCGGCGTGCTGCTGCTGCTGTTGTTGTGATGGTATGTCATAATGCTGTTGTAGATGCCTCACCACAACCACCTCTGCCCCGTTGGCCGGATTCACCTCCATCAGAGCAGGGTTCACCGTATCTTTATACACGCGTTTCGACTCACCGTGTGGCGTCACAGCCGACTCACCACCCGCCATTCGCTGCATCCTCATCTGGTACGCCTGTTCTTCTCGCACTTTCTGTAGCTGAGTGGTGAGCGGCACCATCTGGGGGTTATTACCAGCGCCGCCCGCCGCGTTCTTCACCATCTCCGGAATCACTGAGGAAGTTGGAGCAGCGGACGCCTTTGCCACGTGCTGTGATGGGTGCGGACCCACCACCATCCCACCAGCACCAGCGGCATGTCTCGGGTGTAGATGTGGCGAAACCGGCGTGCCCCGTCCTGTGCTGAGCCGACTCTCCACACTGGCGCGGCCGTCTCCACTCACACGTGTCTCCACGCTCACCCTCCCGTCACTCGTCACGCCCCTACTACTGTCCGTGCTGACCCTTCCGCCGTCTGACACGCCGAACGGCAGCTGCTGTTGCTGTTGTTTTTGCTGTTGCTGTGGTCCCCCGCGGAGTAGAGAGGAGGCGGGTGAGGTATGTCCAGAGTAGGCCGGAGACGCCAGCGATCTAAGTTCGTGAGTCTCGGGGGCGCGGGGGGAGGGCGAGGAGATCCAGATAGGGTTGTGAGCATTGTCCTGACCCCCTAACATCCCGCCTTTACCAGCACCGAGACCCACACTGGACCGAGAACTGCTGTTACTGCTGTTGCTGTTGCTGCTGTTGGTATCCAGCTTCTGACGTTTAGCGGCGGACAGCATTCGCTCATACTCCGGGGTTCCCCGCTCTGTGGGCGACTCGGCCGGTCGTTTCTTTGTCTTGACCGTCAGATCCAGCGGTCCGTGGGGGATTTTGGTCAAATCCAGAGGTGTATGTCCACCGGAGCGACTAGGAGATTTTTCTGTCTGTCTGTGGAGGGGCCTCTCCTCCTGCACTGCGTGGGGAGGCTGTTGTCTCACAGGGTCCGGGTTCGGGCCCTGTTCTCTTTGTGACGAGGTTTGATACCTACTTAGCGACCCTGGGTTGTGCCGGTCAGGATAGGTGCTGTGTTTGCCACTGCTCGATTCGCTCACTATCCGTGGCTGGCCTGTGCTGATTGACCCCTGCATTCTGGGCGGACCAGCCAGGGGCAGGGAGCGATGGTGACCGGTATCCAGTTCGTGCACATGAGACGAGGACGAAGAGGAGGGCAGCAGCCCGCCGCCACTTTTGGAGGAGGAAGATGAGGAACGACTAGAATGTTCTTCATATCCACTGGGCCTTAGCCCCGTTTTTGACATGTTCTGGTGATATCCCCCCGTATGTCCTGCCCCTGCTCCTACACCACCACCACCTCCCCCTTCCCGCCACGCCCCCTTCTCGTCTGTCATGTGACCGACAGGACGTATGACAGTCACGCCCTTCTGACCGGAGGTCACGTGATGCTCGTGCTGCCCCCCGCGGTCCACGGGGTACCCGTGAGGCTGGGGGTGGTGGGGGTGGTGAGGGTGATGGCTACCGTGATGGACGCCAGACAGGTGATGAGGCGCCATCGACGACGATGACGACGACGTTAACGAAGATGAAGAACCAGAAAGAACTTGCGCCGGAGGCCGGTGATGGTACATGTCCTGAGCGCCTGGTGGGTAGCTGGAGGATTTACTCATGCTCAAACCACCGGCGTGTGGAGACTCGTAACTGGACACGTTATGGTACCCACCTCCTACTCTTTCTCCTCCTACTCTTTCTCCTCCTCCAGATTTCCTCACCTGCTCCTCGGCCATTCTCCTCACGTCCATGTGATGCTGATGAGGATGCTGATTAGGATGATGATGATGATGATGACCGTCCATGTGTGACCGCGAGAGATGGACACCGGGTGGGAGATCGAGGCGATCAAGACCACCGACGGGCTTTCCCGCCAAATTCTGCATGTTTCTCATTCCAGCGGAAGATGATGACAACCCGTAGTGACTTGACGATCCTCCTCCTCCCCCTCCTTCTCCACGTGACATGTCGGAAGAGGAGGCTGATGACTGATCCCTTAAAAACTCCCCTCTGTGCTGCGCGGACATAGCCTGGTGCGGGTGTCCGCCGCTGGGGCCAGAGTTGAGCTGTTTTAGGTCATGAAGAGACGGGCCACCCGCCGCTTTGACCACGTCCGCGGGTAGATAGTGGCCACCGGCTGAGGCAGCCGCCATCAATTTGTGGGGGTCTCCGGGAGGAAAACCAACTGGGGTGTTGTTGGAGGATTTCCCAGCGAGATAAGCCACGTGGGCCGGGTCGTGTAGACCATGGAGTGAGGGAATCCCTCCCGCTCCCCCTCCTCCTCCTCCTGGAGTGAGAGGTCCGTCAGGGGGTGGTGGGTGTGGTGGGGGTGGCCCGCCTCGTGACGATGTGAGGGACCCGGGTTTCTGACCAGAAGCTGGGTTCAAACCCGGGTACCCCGAGTTTGGCGATAATCCCATTGGCGTCATGACCCTGTTGGGCGTAGTGCCCAGGGATTTGGGAGGCAAGCCGTGCGGAGATAGGACGGGGCCGCTGGGTGGGCCGCCTCCTGGGACCACGGCTGCGTAAGCGGACTGGAGCCCATCATACATCACGCGAAGTGGGTCGGTCATAGCTAGAGCATTTATACGGCCGTCCGGTGGGTGGTGGGGGTTCAAACCCCCGTGCGGGTGCTGTTGCTGTTGGTGCTGTTGTTGTTGTTGTTGTTGTGATGGTGGTCCGCCCCGAGACATACGGCTTGATGACGTCATAGACTGAGGGGAAGACACTACCACGGAGGAAGAGATGGACGGCCCGGCATGCATAGCTCGAGAATCCATCATAGGCATGACGTCACGCGGCAGCCTCCCGTCAGCCATCATGGCGGCAGAGGAGGAGGATGACGACGAAGATCTCGACGACTTCTCTTGCTGTTGTATCGGAGGCGGGCCCGCGCGGGGGTCGTGGAAACCTCTAGTGTCTATCCGGCTCTCGTGGTGGTGTGGGTGCAGGGGAGGGCCGTGGGGATGGGGGTGAGTGGGGTGGTGGGGGTCTAGGAGCACCCTCTGTGGGTCTTTAGAGGCCATAAGTTCGTGCGGACCCCTCAATCCTTCTAGCGATTTCCGTTCCAGCGAGGAGGAAGAGGAGCGACCCTCTAGAAGCAGCCTGGCCTCGTGGCTCGCTTGCTGTTGCATCGCTGCTTCCATGGAGGATGGCGGGACCGGGGGAGGGGGCGCTGGCGGTTTCTGGGGGTGGGTGTGGCTGG